GTTAGATAGCAACACTGAAGCAATGAGCATGAAACTGAGCAAACTCAGGGAGGCAGTGAAGGACAGGAAGGCCTGGCACGATATGGTCCATGGGGTCACGAAGAGTCGGACATGACGTAACGACTGAGCAACAACAACTGAACAAACCTGAGTATAACAGTGATTGAAAGTTTTCTAAAACATTAATTATACAAGAACAAGCATTCTAGTAAGCAGAAAGAGATTAAAAAGTACAAGCTGGCAAAAATGCACCCAGGACTTCGAAAAAGTACCATGTAAAGAGGCACTGGAATATTTGCCATGATAAGTTAAGGAGAACCATGCTGAATCAGACCAAAAAGTCCAGCTAGGCCAGATTTTGTTCTGACTCAGCCCAGAAGATCCACCTAGTCCTACCAGATAGCTATGGGAAACCCACTGGCAGGACACAAGAACAAATGCTCTCTTCCCAGCAAATAATGTTCAGTTTGTTCCCCATCTCCAGCCTCTGAAGTGACCATTCCCTTTCTCCCCATGAATTCATCTAATCCCATTTCAAGACTTAAGTTGATGACCCTCACCTACACTACAGGACAGCAAAATCCACTAGTTAACATAATATATCTGGACTCAATAAATCCTTAACTTGGAATAAAGAAATACAACTGCTGTGTTTGGGATAAGACACTGTGCCCAAACAGTGTCTTGTTTCACAATATGCTAAAACCATGGCTGAGGCACTGATGCAACCTCGTTTTAACTTCACCTAGTGTGTTCTGTGGAGTAAGACAGAATATGTGAAGTAACTGTTTTTTGTCTATTCTGAACTGTTGAAATTTGATTGTGGGGCCTTAGATTTTAATCACAAGAGAAATCTCTGTCTCTGCTTATTCCATAAAATGCATAATTGTATATGTCTCTATCACATCCTCCCTTACTTGACTTCTTTTCTTAAGCAAAATAGTCCTAAAGACTGCAAGGTTTCTTTAATTAGACCTCCTGAATTGCTGCAGCCTCCTAACCATCTCTGTTTTTCTTCTTGCACTATTTTTCAGCTTCAGTTAAATGGAAACCCAGTGCTAAGAAGCAAGACTTGGAATGCCAGATATCATATATAAATAAAAGAAGAAGGGAAGGTTTCAGAGGCCACACTATTGTTGGAGAAGAGTTGGAGACTAGACTTTGGTCTCCTCCAGCAAGTCTCCTAGGATGTCCTTTTGCTAAAGATTGCATTTTAAAGAATGCAAACATTTGAGCTAGTGATTCCCAACATGCACATGTGAAACTCCCCATCAGCCATCCTCTTGGGAAACTTAAAGTTACCAAAGGCCAAACTGGATGAGAGGAACAATTTCTTTTGTTCCTCCTTGTATCTTTTAAAGAAACAGAAAAACAGATCAAACGCCTTCATCATTTACATCAGAGAGAGCTCTGAGAGACCACCTCAGGCAGCAGATCTGAAGGTCACGCAAGTGCAGCAAGTTGTGAATTATTTAAGGTATTATTGTTGGGCTGTTTACTATCAGAGGAAGAGCTTATGGGATGTTCTGCTTGAAGTGGCAAAATAACAGTGGTTGCTATTCAACCTGATTTTTTGGCGGGTGGGTGGATTATTGCTTGCTGTTCTGCAATATGTCTTGCTATACAATGGGCCTGGTTTATGGCACAAAGCATTTCCCTCATCTTTAATCTTTGTAGATGAAGGCCTAAGTGTTCCCTTTGCTCTTCATTTTTTAAATTACAAAAATAGACATGGAGATTGAGGGTTTTTTTTAAACTAAGGCAGATATTAAGTATGCTACAAATTTAGGACTGTTAATCTGAGGGGAGGGACCATCTAACTCAGTATTTTTCAAATTTGACAACATTAAGATGTGTGGACTTCAACTCCCAGAATTCCCCAGGCAGGCTGGGGAATTCTGGGAGTTGAAGTCTACACATCTTAAAATTGCCAAGTTTGAAAAACACTCATCTTGCTGATCTTTATCATCTTCTTTGACAGCTTTTTCTTAACTGAGTGACAGGATAATAACCCTCCTTTTAATGAGAAATACCGCATTTGCTGTTTAGGTCCACAAAGCTTTCCCCACAAATAATTATCTGTAAAGATGAGGGTGGGGAGGTAATTTTGTATTTGCTGAGAATATAAGAAGCTGTTGGAAACAAAGGAGTGAGGAAGTAAGCAGTAACAAAGGAGTAAGGAAGAGATACAAATGGCTGAAAAGCATGGATGTTGGGCATGGGGAGGATGTCAAAAAGTCAACAGAGTGGCCACAACCATGTGATTGAAACCCAGCCTCTTTTTAACCTACATCTTTGAAGGTTAGCCTGAAGGTTATTGGTTGCTTAGCAGGGGCATTTGGCTGGTGAACATAACCCTTTTTGCAATGTTTCTCTTTTCTTCCCTTTTCTTTCTAGTTATCACTTCTTCTTGCCTCTCTTCCACTCAGTTTTCTTCCCCTACTTTGTCATCTCTCCCAAAGCAACAAAAATAAAAGAATTTTTAATTCTTCTTTTACACAGTCCTGACCCCTTCTTTAAACGGTGGTTTCTGTACATATATGCACACATGAACACATGCAAGTGTGTCACACAGATACACTTATGGGGAAGGATTAGGGTTAATATTGGTTTTAGCTGGAGATGGCAACCTAAGTTGACATGGTGGAGAAGCTGGGCATTGCATAGGATTTTCACTAGCTGTTACACATACCTTGCTTTTGCACCTTTAAGACTAATATGGCTATCTTCCTGAGAGCTCCTAGTCACTGAATGTCATGTAAAGCATACTGAACCCTTGCTACTCATTGGGGGATTTTTTTTTTTTTGGCATGTTGCTTAAAGTACATTGCTTACCTTTTATTAAAGTCAACTTGGATGGAATGATCAATGACTAAATCAGCAGGACACACCGGATTGATTTTCTCAGGGTTACCTCCCAGGGCCTTCACGGCATCACGCATAGCAGCAAAATCAACCACTGCAGGGACACCTCTGCAACAGGAGAGTAAAAAAACACAAGGCAACTTTGTCTGGTATGTGAAAATGTGCAAGTAAGACTTTGAAATCAAAACACACAAGCAACAGTCTTGTAAGGTCCAGAGTTGGAGCTGCTAAATGGAGAATGCTAGAAGTTAAAGATTCAACACACCTGAATGTGCTAGAAGAACAATCACCCTGGTTCAGTGGAAAGAATTTTCCAAACAGACAAGCTCCAGATTCACATTTTCTCTCCTTGCCCCTTCCTCTGTGCCTTTACAATTTGTGTTGTAGGATTAACCATAATTACCTGTGGTTATCTGAACTGGCAAGCTCTGAGTCCTGCTAATGGCAAATGCCAGAGAGTGCTGACTCATTCAGTTGCAGATAGTCAGGACGGAACTGCTGACTGCAAATGAAAGAGCAAAGGAGGGGGAAAGAAGAGTTTCTAATTCTCCAAACTGCAATCAGGAGCATCTGCTGAATTGCCCATGAAACTGTTCTTCCCTAGAGGTGTACTGATACTACAATACAGCTGCCAGAACTCCCAGAACACCATGGTCAATAAATCTGTAGTCTAAATCTACACAATCCTACATTTAGAATTATTACATAGTTATTTGGGGCATCAAATATTAAGCAGACTTTCTGCAGTCACAAATATATCCAGGGAAGATGGGGGGGGGGGGGAAGGCTAGTGTGAAAAAGAGGTTCTAGTCTTAATGCAATTTGGCACAGAGAATAAACAAGCTAGAACTCTCATAGATATTACCCCAGAAACCTTTGTATCTCATCACAACTCCAATCCACTTGAACAAAAGTAGCCTAGCGCTAAATTTAAATTTTACATGACTTACAATGTGTTGGAGAAGAATTGGGAGGGGTTATTCTAACTCTACACCCAAAAGTGCCTGCACAAATATCTATTCCTATAATGGAAAAGAAGAAAATCATTCAGACCCATCATTAACTATACAACTAATAATGCTGTTGCTGAATTACTCCAAAAATGAACTTGCAAAGAGTTTGTTCAGGCATTGCTATTACTTGAGGTAATAACACAGCAGTGTCTAAACAAATCCTTTGAAAGTACATTTTTCCAGCATCAGCATCCCAAATTTACTGGAATGGTTTCAAAAAATGGTATTAGTAGCTTCCTTAAGACCACACAGCACGTTTTGCAGGGGTTGGAAGAGAATCTAGTGATTCCATCCCATTGCAATGAATTTGTTTTAGATATACTTTCACTTAGGACAGACCCAGAGGAATTTGGGGAAAAAATAAAGTTATTTTGGAAAAAAATAAGTCTACTAAGGAATGACTTGAGCTCATAAATATGTGGCAACCCACAAGCTTTCAATACGCAGTGAGCAAAATATACGTAACATGCCACCAGAATCCAGAGTCCAAACTCTTAGTGTGGTTTCAGCTTCTAATGAAAAGGCATATGTGAACACTAGCTTAAGAAAATGGAGGGATTCTATTCTCGCAGTGATACTTCTATCGAAGCATTATATCATCCATTCACCTCTACACAAAGCTCAGACATTCCAGTACAAGTATTTTGATTCACAGCAGTGGCTACTGCTGTTGCTTCGAGAAAAAAGGCCGTTCTGTACAATTTATAGATGGAATTTCACAGAGTGCCACATCCAGCTCGAGACAGGTATTGAGTAACCACAATGTGGGAAAGGACTGCTGTGTTCCCCTGCCTCAAATAAATAACCTGCATTCAGAAAAACAGCATGTAGCTTGTCAGGAAAAAAGCTAGTCCAAATCTTTCTTCCTGACACAATAGCTCTCCACATGTGAACAGAAGTATCAAGTCAGGCTGATAGCACCGATGTTGAAATATAAGGTTTCTGGGCCTGTTCAAGCTATTTAATATGCCCGTGCTTCACATACTACTTTCCCCTGCAGGGAAACCAGTACTCCGTAATGAATAAAGAAGATGGTCTTAAAGGACTGAAAGAAGACCAAGACAATGATCAGATAAACTAAACTTGACTCACACAACCCCCACTCCAATTCTCATGAAGATAAGAGGAGGAGGAAAGGTAGCACATTCAGATTTGCAAGACTGTTGTCAGCCCTATCAGGTACACCAGACTAAGAAACCGACACCGTGCGGACCTAAAGCTACTTTTATTAGAACAGAATCTTGTGGGTCTTCCTTCTGTCCTTCAAGGCCATCCTCTTCCTTTACTACATACCCAAACACAGAGGTCCTTTCCCCACTTGCACCCAACCATGAGACAAGTTTACCCTATCTATATCAATTTTTGTACCATGCCCCCAGGATGTTCCCTTCATCTTTTTCCCAGCACAGATCACATATTTTTACATGTTTTGCAGTGCAGTTTTCAGCTAATAAACTGCCTACAAAAAACAAACAAACAACCCCCCTATTTTTGTATATAGAAATAAATGCAAATTTTGTTGTGCTTTTTAAAATTCAATAACATGATATGAAAATATGATGAAATGGTCATGGTTGATTGTAAGAAAAATGGAAAATACCAGATATAATCTATATATCTTTACTTGGCATGCCATTAATACTGTTTTTCTTTGTATACTTCACCCCCTCCTTTTTTAAATGTTCTTTGTTTTTACAATACTTAGTACATTTCAGGTGTTTTCAGTTCTTTTATTTATTAAATGGCTTAATATTTGTAATTTATTTTACTGCTGGTTCTGCATCATTTTTCTGCATGTTTATAGATAAGTTGGCTGGCAATTATTAAGTTTTGTTGGGTTTTATGTCATTACTATCTGTTTTTAATGATTGTATGATGTGTAGAAAATTGGTTAGGTGTTTTTCACTACAAATAACAAATTCAAGCTTAGCTTGCAAAAATATTTAAAAAGAGAGATATATATATAAACACCACTGAGATGTTAAGAAATACAATTGATGTTAATAATTGGCAGAGAGATGTGCAATCACCAACGTTGCCTAGAATGTAAAGATGCTTTTGTAAAGTTTGCTCAAATTTCAGACTTCACAAGTAGATTCCGACCTTGGTCACCAAGCCAAAGACTAAAGTCATCAGAACTCTGCCCTCCACTTGTTGCTGATCTCCAGGCTATGGCTCTACATGAGGTCACAGGTAATCTCTCCTCTTCTAGCTCCATATTTTAAGCAGGAAACGTGACCAGGGTATTCTCAAGTTTGCCATTTAGGTTTAAGATGTTGATAATGAGTGTAAGTCATATCACAATGATACAAGGTAGGTTAATTTTAAACTTATAACCCACATATTGAAGACCACTGGTTCAAGGTGAAAAAAGTCTATTTTCTGTAACTGCTTCTTTGAAATAGCACTCTTAAACCCAGGAGACACAACATTATCAATACACAGCCACTATTGAGAAAAATACTTAGTTGATTAGTGTCAGGTTCCTGGTCTTGGCAGACATCAGCCCATGCAGATAGGGATGTACCATGGTTGCTGCAAACATGTACTAAGCCAACTTTGTCCAACCTGGGTGTCCTCCTTTTGTATGAACTTGAGCTCCCGTAATTCCTAACTACCATAATAGTTCTTGAAAATTTTGGGAGTTGAAGTTTAGAGGGTTAGTTAGTTAGATTTTTAGAGGGTTTAAATTGGATTAGATTAGATTTAGAGGGTTCCCAGATTGGAAGTAATCTAGTTGCATGCTGGTTGTTAGTAGGCAACCACAACCCAACATCTGGTTGTACAGTCTGCCGAAATATCAAAAGGCAGTGCTTTTGGTGAATGTTGCTTGAGATATTCATCAGCATGAACTGAATGCTTTCCTAGAAACAGCCTAATGCTGACATAAGTCTTCAACACAGTGCAATTTGTAGTATTTAATCCAAAATAAAGCCCAAATTATGCCAGATGTTCTCCACCAAAGATCATCTAACTGACAAAAAATTTACTAAATTGGAGCAACTAAAAATGAGACATTATACAACTCACGTAAAGTCTTGCAGAATAACCCGGGAAGGCTTAAATGGCACTTCAATATTTTTGTGCTGCATCACTTTCCAGTTGAGGATATTTTCAACGTCATTTTTCTTTACAAGAAACTCATCACAGTTGCGAACTGCAGCCTCAAGTAAGATTCTGATAGAAAATGGTAAATGTGCTGTAAAAGAAAGGAAAAGGGAGGGAAGGAAGGAAGGAAGAAAATTCAGAAGAAGACTCAGAAAAAGGAAGTTCTCTACCCTCTGTCAGCAAAATACAGCTGAAATTTTCAAACATTTGTGTCACATCAAAGGGGGAGCATCTCTATGAGTAAAAGCCAAAACAAGGCACAACATAGACCACCCTTCTCACTTGGGCACACTCCAGATGTCAACTCCCACAATAACCAGCCAGCCACACCACTACTGAAAATTCTGGCAGTTGAAGTTCATGTCTCTTGAGGAAATATAGATGGAGAAGGCTGATGTAGACATTAAGCCAGTCTTCCACAACCTCCAGATCTGTAGATCTACAGTGTTTTAGGCCAACAACTAATAATTCTGGAACTTGTAGGCCCAGCCCATTGAGAGGCTTTCAGGTGGGGAAGCTATTATATAAAGAAAAATATATGCCTTTCTGCTATAAGCAGTGTGAAGGCGGCACCTATAAATGTGGAGATTGGTAGCAAATATATCTGTGAAACTGCAAGAGCCTGGGTTGCCTGATGGATGGCACTTGGACGATAGGAGAAATACTCTTCCATGCTGTCTTTACCCAAAATTGAACAAACTACTTCAGATTTTTGGTCTAATATGTTTTCTTCTGAAGAGCAGTAATACTTAAAAACCAGCCCTTCCATCCTTTAACTTTTTGGCTAGGGATGAAAAGGCCTAGAATCGAATAGTTTTTGCTTGTGTATGCCAATGAGCTATGGGTCTCCAAAGGACAAAGCCAAGTGAGCATCAAGAACTATCAACTAATGAGGGAACAAGCACCGTGCAAGCCGATATGAATCTCAGGCATGGAACAAGTCCTTTTGACTGTAGCCAACATACCATATCTGGAGTCTTTCAAATGATTCAGATTGAAGAACTTCTTTCCTGACTGGCCCAAGTCCAGAGGCTCCGTGAGATGTGCAAAGGGGTTGCTCATGGTTGAAAAGTCTTGTTACTACTGAGAAATATAAGACAGGTTAATATCACTGAATTCTAAGTTTTAAGATACAATACCATGAAAATTATCAATTTAAACATTTCTAGGATACTGCATATGTTTAGGACAGGCAATTTTCCCCTGGCTGGGTATCCATACTATTCTCTTTTTTTCTTTTCTTTCATTACAACTGAAGGTCCTCAGTATTGAGGTTCAAGATCTCCTGGTTTTTTTTTTTAATTTTTAAACTTTATTAATTAAAAATAACAAATGAATACGTATAAGACATTGCATAATACATACAAGATCTCCTGTTTTTTGTTTGTTTGTTTCTTTGGTTTGTCTTGAGTTGTTTTTGTTTTTTTTAAAGAAACCTACTTTAAAAGTCAAAGTCTGTTCTAAGGCATAAAACATTAAACTAGTCCTAAGAAGCACAAAATCCTGCGCTGCACATTAAGAGGGGGCTCTGGGGATTAAAAAAATTTGGAAGCCATCTTCAGCATATGGGTTCCCTATCCATGCTGGATATGATCAAATACATACACATTTGTCTAAGCGATTCATACTTTGGGAATCAATTCCACGTTTACAGTTTTAACAAAACATCTCTTTGGGATATTATTGCTATGCTAAAGTCAGAATATATTTACACTTTTTTCCCTGTTAAATTGAAAGTCAATAAATAAGTTGAGTAATTAAGCTGCAATCCCATGGCAAAAATAAAGCTAATTTCTGAGCAGACGTGTCTAGGATTGCACTGTTAAATTATTTTGAAGTTAGGATCTGCACTTTATTCCCATGGATAAAACTGAAATAAATGTGGTGTCATATGAATTAATTGTTATTATATTAGCACTTTAAAAATCTTAAAGTTCCCTATTGTTTGAGGGGGGGTGTATTTGTATATATGTGTATCCTTCAAAAATAAGAAAAGACTACATTATCTAACTAATTTATTTCATGAGTTATATGTACTACTAAAATAACTGTTACTATTATACTTTTCTACAACATTTTCAAATATCTAAAGAGCTCCCCATACTTTATCTAGCTGTAGTCCTTGTGAGATAAGTCAGTATTATTGTTCCCCATATTATGCAGTCATTAACTAAGACTGCTCAGTGAATTATAACATAGATGAGATTCAAGCCAGACATTTTACAATTCATAATTTAGACTTTTAGCCCTACGTCAGTTCTTTTACTTATATGGTACCTCTGAAGAAGGCCTGAAGCCTTGAGGCTACATAGAATACTTCCAATGTACTTTCACAATTTTCTCTTTGTTTGCATGGATCCTTTCCTCCATCTTTTTTTTTTTTTATTTATTTATTTGCTTCTCAATCCATCACCGGACTAGCCATTTGTTAAGTACACAGGATTAAGACACAAAGTATTTTGCAGTCCTAACTTGATTTGCAATGCAATTCTCAAAGATCTGTTAGACTGCATCCTGGCTGCCCTTGGCATTTATCCTAGAAGCAATTATTCAAATTCTAAAAACTGCAAGGTTTCTCAAGCAATAGGACAGTGGGGAAGCTATCATAAAAAGCATGTGTGGGACAGGAATTTAATTTACAATTTGGGGCTACCAAGAGAGCATCTTTTAAAAATGAAGCTTAACCCTGAGGTCTAAATAGGTAAACTTCTCTCAAGAATTCAACTAATTTTGATGTTCTCTTTAAAAAGCTAGTATGAATGACAGCTCAAAAGACTCCAGAAGCGGTTATCAAATATTCATTTGGATTTAGATTCCAGTCTAATACTATACCAATTATATCTTGATCCACTATCAAGAAGGAAGAGGAAAGGCAAGATTTTGGCCTACCTTGGCCAAACTGATGCTGATTTTAGGCTAAGAATTATTTGATTTATATTTCTGCTCAAGATAAGCATTCAGTAGGGTTCACAAAAATTAAATGCAACACACACACACAGGCACAACATTCAAAAAGACAAGTTAAAACCAATCAATTAATAATTGGAGAAAAAGTTGCATTTTGGCTGTTCTTTGAATAATGGAGAAAGTGGGGCCAACACGATTCCCAAGTCAGGGCATTCCACAGCCTGGAAGTGGTGCAGAATCCTATCCTCTCCTGTCCGACAGATAAATCAGATAAATGAGCTTCCAGCAGCAAGGGCACCTTCAAAAAGACCTTTACTGCAGGTTTTAATGGACAAGCCAGTGTGCAACAGAAAGGATGATCCCTTAGATCAGTGTTGTCCAAACTTGGCCACTTTAAGGTGAGTGGACTTCAACTCCCAGAATTGGGAGTTGCATGGCTGGCTGGGGAATTCTG